CTCCTCCGCCCAAACCCTGCTTCCATTTATCATTTATTTAAATATTAATTTTTAATTTCCCGGCAAAAAAAAGAGGGAAAAATGATGAGGCAGGAAAACCACGGCGACCAGGAGGCCGATCTCCACGCATCCCAAGACGACATGGAATCTCTCGTCCTCGACGAGCCACCCTCATCCAACGGCCAATCCTCTCCCTCCGCGTCCACCTCCGTAGACCGCCACTCCGCCACCGCGACACCAGCCACCTCCTCGCAAGGCTTCAATTCGATCCTTGAACCCCCGTCTTACGCCGACGCCATCTTCACCTCGTTCGATTCCTCCTCATCCAACGGCCACGACTGCCCCAAGCCCTCCTCTTATCAATCGGAGTCTCCGACAAGATCCGAATTTCTCAAGATATGGGTCACGGACCCTCAGAAAGAGCTCGAGCTCTCCAATTCGCTTGTTCCCGGCGGGACCTCGTACTACACGTACCTGATCACCACCCGGACCAACATGCCCGAGTACGGCGGGCCCGGATCCGAGTTCACCGTCCGGAGGCGGTTCAAGGACGTGGTGACGCTGGCGGACCGGCTATCTGAATCGTTTCGCGGGTTCTTCATCCCGATCCGACCCGATAAGAGCGTGGTGGATAGCCAGGTGATGCAAATCGAGCAATTCGTGGAGCTGCGGAGGGTGGCATTGGCGAAGTACCTGAACAAGCTCGCGGTGCATCCGACGATCAAGAAGAGCGAGGAGCTGAGGCTGTTTTTGGTGGTGAAGGGGAAGCTGCCGCTGACGAGGAGCGTGGACATGGCGTCGCGGATGCTCGACTGGAGCAGTGAGGCTGCCGAGGCAGTTAACGGGCGAGGTGACGGCTGTGACGGATGTGAATGAGGCCGCGCAGCCGGCCAAGGGCGGCAGGGACTTGCTGAGGATCTTCAGGGAGCTGAAGCAGTCGGTGGTGAACGATTGGGGAGGCGTGAAGCCAACGGCGGTTGAGGATGATAAGGAGTTTTTGGAGAGGAAGGAGAAGGTGGTGGAGTTTGAGCAGCAGCTTAGCAATTTGTCTCAGCAGGTATTGTTACTAATTTTGAAATGCCGTGCATTTATGTTTGTTGGTAAGATTCAACGTATTTGTGTGTTCAAATCCAAATGTTAGCCAATTATTATGATAGACTAGTGTGATCATGATGATCTTATGATGAAAGAAACCTTGCGGCGCCATTAGGATCAGTTGCGGGATTTCGAAGTTAAAAGCTTTACCATTTCTGTTAGCATTGTCTGCTCTAAACTTGGCAACTTAGTATACAGTAGAGAAGAATTGGCGAGGTTTTCGGTTACTTAGAACTTATTGAGCTGGATGGTTTGCAGGCTGAATCACTAGTAAAAGCTCAGCAGGACATGGGAGAGACTATGGGAGAATTGGGGTTGGCGTTTGTGAAGCTGACCAAGCTTGAGACGGAGGGAGCCATGTTCGAGTCTCAAACAATACGAGCCAATGACATGAAAAATGTGGCTACTGCTTCTGTTAAAGCTAGTCGATTATACCGGGAGTTAAATTCGCAAACGGTCAAACATTTGGTAACTTACACAAGCTATCCTAGACATTAAATTTGTGGAAAACGAGTCATATTTGATCCTCATAAGAGGATAATCTCTGTCGTGTTATCTTAAGCCTAATTTTACATGTTTATTGCAGGACAAACTTCATGAATATCTTGGAGTAATGCTAGCAGTCAATAGTGCATTTTCAGACAGATCAAGTGCTTTACTGACGGTTCAGACTCTTTCATCAGAATTAGTTTCGTTGCAGTCCAGGATTGAGAAGCTTGAAGCTGCAGCATCCAAAATATTTGGTGGTGACAGGTCCAGGATGCGGAAAATAGAGGAGCTTAAAGAAACTTTAAAAATTAGCGAGGATGCTAAATCTTGTGCAGGTCAGAGAGTATGAACGAATCAAGGTAACATCTTAAGCCATCTAGAACTTAGGCTATTCGGTTTGTATCCTTGGTTTCGAGATTCATTTAATCATAAATAGCATCCTCTATATCCTCGCTTCCTTTTTATGACCTAAAAATCTGCAAACAGTATATGCACAGTCATAAATTTTGTTAATTTTCACCAGTCTGGTTAAGTATAGCTATGACTGTCCTAGTATACCTAGGGAGCTGTTATTCTGAGTTTCATCTCAATATATTTGCACTAGCGTTTCAAATTTTGAAATCTTGTCAATACCATTACCAACTGACACAGAACAGAAACTATAGGGGAGCGAGGAAGGGTGGGTAGGTTTCTTCGACACCCAAAGAGAATCCTCGAATCCACCAAGGGCCGAAGTACTGACCAAGAAAGGAAGCAACAAAGAATAACTATTCTAGAATATTTGATTACCCAAGCAACAAGAAAACCTAAGGACTAATCAACAAGATAAGATAGTTATCAGATGGAGCTGTTATTCTTCTTTTGGCAAGATACACCATCATGTATAAATTGCTTTTGTGCAGGCGCACCTGACGGTTCTCCATTCTTACTGAACTAACATGAAAATATTTGTGTTGCTTCTGGTTTCTGGCAACCAATTTTTATTTAACATTCGTTCGTGCTGTCTTTTGGTTCACGTTTATCTTTGTGTGTTATCTAAGGCATGCGCTCGCATTGCTGAATATTCCTTATCTAATCACTCGATTACTATACTAGAATGCGACTCCTTTGGTCAAGCATATTTGTTTCGGTTCCCGTTTTGATTATTCACAATGCCAAACTAAGAGTTCTAATTTGATTGGAAGAAGTAAGATCTCATTTTATACATGATGTGTTTGAGTACGAACTCCAAGCATGATTGTTGGTGAATCTGTATGCAGGAAAATAACAGGAGTGAGCTCGAAAGGCTCGACAGAGAGAGGCACGAGGACTTCATGGGCATGCTACGAGGGTTTGTTCTTAACCAGGTACTTTCAGCCCTAAACCGCATTTTGTTGTTCGCACGCTTGTAAAACCTTCGCTTCAAATGGCATCCCGACTTCATTTTGTAAGTCCTTGAATAATAATTATGGTATGTTCTTCACATCCAACAGGCAGGATATGCGGAAAAGATGGCGAATGCTTGGGAGAAGCTTGCGGAAGAAACAGGCGGGTATGTTAAAGATGGCAGCTGACATTTTTGGCTGTAAAATTTTCGTGTTTAGCTTCTCATTCTGCTGTCTCTTTATTTCGTGCATGTACACTACTTACATCTCATTTGTGATATACCCCAATACGGACCTGACATTTTTTTGCACAACTCGTTAACACTACACAAAACGATACAAAAATAGTATGTTTCGGGCCAACCCATAAACAAGTCGGATCGTTGTTGAGTCACTTGATAAGATAACATATGACACAAACACGATCCCTTTGCTAGGTCACATTAGGCATGGTAATTTCTTACCTGACTCGTTAACCCAACACTAAACAACACGACCCCGTTAACAATTCAAATTGTTATCAAATATTTGTAAAGAATCTGTTAAGATAATATATTTGACACGATAGTGACATGAATATGATAAAGACGGCGTTAGGTCATTCTAACCAACCAAAAATAGGCTTCAGAAGGCTATTTTAACTTTCAATAGTATAATATATGCTTGGGTGTAGATCACGTTATTAATATCTCTCATCATGTCACGAGAGAATTCTAACATATTGATGATGAGATGGATACTCATTTGTGATGTAAAATAACAAAATGGTTACCGGTGGGTAAATGTCGTTAATGTAAAAGAATAATATTTGGATACTAAAAAATGAGTAGAAATTCATACTTAAATTTTCTCAAAATTGTTTGTTGTTAATTTATAGACCTTCGTGTTTATAATCAGAACTATTCATATTATAAATTATCATATAAAGATTGCCTTTGTAAAAAATCAATTAAAACTAAGACTATTTAATCATCAAACTATTTAAAAACAAATGAACGATATTGGTAAAAGCATTACGAATCGTCTATGTATTTGCTACAATAGATTGATTAAACGATCTTAGTTTTAATTTATTTTTTTTGTAAAGATGATCCTTACAATATGAGTCATAGTATGAACGATTCTAATTATAAGCACAAAGCTCTACGATTAAAACACTAAAAATTTTGAGTATGAATTCCTACTCATCTTCGAGTAGTCAAGTATCGTTGAATGTAAAATATAACTCACATGAATGTCTTGATAGAGGGGTCTGATTTCTTGCATTGAAAGTATCGAACACAGCATCATAGCGGATTAGTAAGAACAAACAGAGGCTTAATGTGATTAAGACATTAATTATTAAAGTACTAATTAATTTGATCAATTCGATGTGAAACTTTAGCAAACCGTATGCATCCCTTTGTTCTCACTCTAAGTTGGCTTTTGAGGGTAACTCTGTCGTTTGGTGAGATGTACAATTTTCGATGGGATAATACTTCTATCCTCCAATGTGGGATCCACAGATTTTTCATTTGTAAATGACATATTTTGATCAAATCAACGATCAGAACTATTTAATTTATTAATCTTCATTCGAATATCAAATTCTCTAAAAGATCATTTACATTTGAGATTGTTTAATAATTCAAATGTATAGACAATTCATTTTGAATATATTACTTGGTACTTATATTGTCGATTTGTTCTATATATTTAAATGACTAAATGATCTCTATTTGAAATGATATTTTGTAGGCTTGATCTTTAAATAAAGATCAAGAAATTGAACGGTTCCGATTATAAATTTTCTAGGTTCAAAATAGGTTATTAGCAAGAATGAATGAGCTCATCCTCCCAAGAGGAGAACGCAAGTATTATCATTTTCGATGATTGCTAATACGTTGTCGATAAACTAAACTGCACCTACGGTACATATGCAGTTCCACAAATGACTAATTAAATCTTGTATTTTTAAATGATACTTTAGTATGCATTGTCACTTACTATTATGGTCTAATAATATTCATTTTCATTTGTAGATGAGATGTCTCAAAATTCAAATCTCGGAAATGACAAGTTCGAAACCAAAGATAACTTTCATTGGCCAATAGAATTAGAACGATCAACAAAATCGCAACACTCTTAATTTAATCGAGAGAGAAAAACTGTATCTACAGACACTGATGAAGTGTAACAAAACCAAAACTAATATTCAAGAATGAAAGAATCTTGGACTAGCTACCGAACCCCTTTTTCTGAAACCCGCTTTCACTCATCACTTGCTGAAGGGGCTTCAGCTCCGTCGTCGCCGGAACTGGCGGCTGTTTCGGGTCTGATCTCTTCTAGCTGCTGCAGAACCTGTTGAACTTCTGGCCTTGCCGATGGCGAAGGATCAACACAATGCAGAGCTAGTTTCAGTGTGTTTAGCAGCTCGTCACCGATGATAGACGCGTCCCTCATCAGTTCCAAGTCGAAAACTTCGTTGGTCCACTCCTCCTTCACAATGGAAGCAACCCACTGAGGCAAATCCAAACCGTTCATCGGCTCTCCAGGAGACTTCCCTGTTAGGAGTTCCAATATGATCACCCCAAGGCTGTAAACATCAGTTTTCGTGTTGGCCTTCTTGAGCTTTGAGAGCTCCGGGGCTCGGTACCCTAGTGCTCCGGCGGTTGCAATCACGTTGGAATTGGCAGCGGCCGTCATGAGGCGGGAGAGGCCGTAATCTGAGATCTTGGCATTCGTCTGCTCATCAAGTAGGATGTTGCTGGATGTGAGGTTGCCATGGATAATGTTCTCATTGGCGTGGAGGTAGGAGAGACCTCTTGCCATGCCCTTTGCTATTCCCATTCTTGTTGGCCAATTAATCGAAGTATCCGGTCCTCGAGCTGCAACGGAACCAACCACAGTGATCAGATTGACAAACACAAAAATACGGTAAACCAAAATTGAAATCGAGGCAAAACATAGTATGCGAAATCGTTTGCATCGTGCTTACCATGGAGAAATGCTGCAAGACTCCCTCTCGGCATGTAATCGAAAACCAGAAGCTTTTCTCCCTTAGGTCCCAAGTAATAAGCCCTCAGAGCCAGAAGATTCGGGTGCCTGATTTTCCCAAGCACATTCACTTCCGTCTCGAATTCCCTCTGGCTTTTCGTAATCTTTTCTCTCAATCTCTTCACTGCAACTTCACTCCCATCCTCCAATGTCGCCTTGTACACAGTCCCAAAGGTGCTTTTCCCATAATCTCTGCCGTTGCGCACAAAAGATCATCCGCTGTGAAAGCCGTTGGCCCGGCAAAATGTACCAGTTTTCCTCCAGCATCTCCTCCGGATTCAGCTTCTCCACCAATGGCCGGAACACCCTTTTCGGTCCTCGCAGCTCCAGCCCTTGCTGCGCCTGTGCCATCCTTGCCTTTCGATGCAGCTCTTTTTCTTATCAAGCAGCAGAGCAGAATGCAACAGAGTACAAACAACACTACCAAAAGAACTCCTGCTGCTATAAGAATTTTGTCTTTGGTACCAAGTCTGTGGCGGAGCTTCGCAGTCTCCGGGCCTGGAGCCGGGACACTCTGAGACGGTGCCTTGGAAGGGCATGGAGTTGAAGCACTGTACCCGCACAGCTGAACATTCCCGACGAAGGAGCTCGAATTGAACTTCTGGGAGAGAGGAGCGGGGACAGCACCAGAGAGGTTGTTGTAAGAAACATTGAGGAAAACAAGATGTGATAAACCAGCAAGAGAAGCTGGAATTTCACCACTGACATTATTCAGCGACAAATCGAGGCGGGTAAGCGTCGAAATGTTGCCAAGAGCTGCAGGAATTGGACCCTGCAATTTGTTCTTCCTCAAGTTAAGAACAGAAAGGTTTTTCAAACTTCCAAGACTTTCCGGGATTTCGCCTTCGATGTTGTTTCCTTCTAAATTCAGCTGGATTAGCGAGGAGAGATTATAGAAGCTAGAAGGCAAGCTTCCATTGATGGCATTGTTGGAAAAATCTAACATTCTAACTCTCGAAAGCCGCCCTATTTCATTCGGTATAGCTCCATTGAACTGGTTATTTCCAAGTTCAAGCTCTTGAAGCTCATTCAACTGGCCTAAAGAGCTCGGCATTGAGCCGGATAAATTGTTGTGGTGGAAAGCAAGGAATGTGAGGGAATGTGAGCGGGAGATACTACCCGGGATAGAACCCGATAGCGAATTGAAGCTCAGATTGAGCCTATAAAGTTTGGTGGAGTTAAAAATGCTGCCTGGGATTTTATCAATGAGCAAATTGTTGCTAAGATCAAGGGTTTGGAGCAGAGGACTAAACCCTAAAGAAATTGGGATTGAACCCGAAAGCTTATTGTTAAATAATTGAACTCCTCTGAGGCTTGGAAGGTACCCTAAAGATTGAGGGATTGGCCCTTCAATCTGGTTGTCATGGAGGCTCAGCTTCCTCAGCGCCTGGAGCAGTCCGATTTTCTCGGAGATTCTGCCACCTAACCCCCTCCAGGGAAGCTCGAGCACAATCACCTGCCCCTGAGCGCACTTGATTCCAGCCCATCCGCCGGAGCAGGCTCCGTAACCGCTGTCGTTCCAGCTCCTTAAGAACCCCTTTGGGTCGTCGAGCTCGTGCTTGATTGCTTGGAGGGATTGGTAGTCCGCCGCCGTGACAATGACGCCGTCCCAGATTTCGGGCCTGGCCGGGTGGAAGAAGGAGAGGAGGAGGTGGAGAAAGAGGAGGAAGTGGGGGCATTTGGGTTGGAGAGGAAGAAACTTCCATTTTTCCTTCTTCTTGTGGGAAATCCGGCTCCAATTTTGAGATGGGTAGTCGGAAAATGCGGGAAAGTTCTGACCTTTGCTGTCCATGGTCAGAAACAGAGCACCAACAATGGCGAACTGTTTATGCTTGATTCTAGAGAGAGAAAGTGAGAGTGATAAGAGAGGGAGGGAGGGAATGGAACAAGAGAAAAAGAAGTTGGTGGGATTGGGAGGACTGAGATCCTAGAGCTGTGTGTTTTAGAGACGACTAAGACAGGGCACGTGAGGGTTCTCAGAGTTCTAGAGAGAGAGAGAGAGAGAGAGAGAGAGAGTTGCTGTTTGTATTCGGTGGAGAGACAATTCATGTGGGTGGCATACGCTCTCTTCCTTACAGAAAGCCTAACGGCTAGTTTCGATTGCTGAATTCATAAATGGCATTGGCTATGGTGGATTTGGATCCCATCCGGATTCAAACGGTGGAAATATTAAAAATCTTCACATCTTAATTCATTGTACATCGTGCAATTAAAAATTATTTGAATTTTTTATATTTAAAATTAAGAGGTGTGATATCCACACATCATATTTTACTTCTTACACACCTTTTTAATTTTCGGCTGTCGGATTAGATAAATTGAAGAAGATCAACTGACAGAAATTATCAAGGATGTGTAAGAAGTAAAATGAGATGTGTGGATATCACACAAAACTGATCACACGATATACGATGAACGATTAGGATGTGAGAATCTTTAGCATCTTCACAAAGAAAATTCAAAAGATCCTCATCCGGCTAGGGTTTTTATATTTCTCTTATATATATATATATATATATATATATATATATATATATATATATGTTTGTATAATGATTTGAACATCTCGATGATCTCGTGGACGGAGGAGGAGGTGGGAAGGTTGAATTGAACTTGTTGAAGTTGGGGTCTTTTTTATTGCTTCGAAGTTTGGATGGCTCCGCCTCCCTCCTCAACGGCTATCTTTCCTTCTGGCGGGTCCCGCCATTTAAACATCGCCAGGTGAAAACCCTGCAGGAACTAGTACAGTACTGCATCCGGCAGCTTCTTTTGTCATTTTTTTGTCAAAGGACTGTTTTGCCCTTATCCCCGAGTTTGTTACTAAAATTATAGGACGGTGGTGCAAAAGCTTTAAGCTCAAGTGATAATGCGTTTGTTAATGCATTTGAGGTCTTAAATTTAATTTTTCATTTCTTACTATCGTTTGTATAATGATATAACTATTATGGGTGGATGGATGGTGTCTTATATGTTGAGAGAATTCCTTCTACTACAAGTCGTATATAACTTCGTAAATGTGACGTATGTACATAATTGTGTACAACTTGTAACCCTTCTTAGATACATCAGTGCATGCTATGTCTCATATTTCATGCATTCAAGTCTATGCGTACCTATTTTGGTTGAGCCGACTGCAAGAGGTTTCCTTTGTGTGTACCTTGAGCGGACTTATAACATGGGTGGGTGACCATAGCCGTCGTACATAATAATATCTCTTATTTTTTTTCTTTTCTTTTTTGTTTTTTACCAAAAAGCACAAGAAAACTTTAGGTGATAGCTGGATCGAATGGTTAGCTTGGATTTTTAACCCACAGGATCCTTCCAGATTTTTTTGGTGAGGATCTTAGAGATCCGTGAATCGTGTTCGTTCATCGTACATCATGTTATCATTTTTTGTCAAGTATTGTTTATGTTTATTTTTAAGTAAAAATATTTAAAATAATTTATAACCTCACAATGTACAATGAACGGATACGATTTACGAATTCTCAGGATCCTCACAAAGAGGATTCAGACTCGATTTTTAAGACCCCACGTAACTGATATAAGAAGGTGATGAAAGAGGAAGATGAAGAAAGGGGTTCATTACCTTTCATTTCATCGTTCACGTTGGAACTCAATTGGAAAACAAAATCTTTGTTTTGAACATTTGAGGGCTTGGGCCTGAGCTCATCGGCCAATAGCAACATGCCACATAATGGAGATATTGGGTATTCAACGAGCACTTCTCATGTTATTTGTATCTTTTCACTTATTTTATGACATAGGAGGCGTTTGTTTGCCCTCACTAAGTGAGATTGGATTGGACTGGACTAACTATTAGTCTAGTCATGTGTTTATTGTTGCACGGGACTAATGTTAATAAGACTAGCTAAGATTAGCCTAGACTGAGGACATCGCTAGAGGTTCTTAGCGAGAGTCCCCGGAAACCATGGGACTAGCTAAGACCCCCTCTCTGCTCTTTGTTTCACAAGATGTCAAACACATTGTTCCCGATCTCCCTTTTACACCACCAGACGACCACCACCCTCTCCCCCCTCGCCCTGAACCCACAATCACGAGACCTCAGATTCACCCATCCTCAAGATGCTTTATCGCCGTGCTCGTTGTCGAGAGGCAACAATTCTTTGCTTAGTTCCTCGGCCTCATCGACTCCTAATCTTGCTCTCCCAAAACCATTTTCAAACACAGATCTAACGAGTCTGCAACGCTTCGCCAAACAGCTTTTGTATTCGATCTCTCCTCATTTGATTCGTTGTGGGTATTTTGGTCCTTAACTCATAACTCCACCAATCTGCTCCTGGAGAAGAATCAGTCGCCGCAATGTTTCTGCTGGACTGCTTCTACGGGTTGCGGCAGAGGGAGGCCAAGGTTCTATTTCTGGGTTTGGATGGCGATTAGGATCATCTAAGGACTGGGTTGCCTAGGACAGAGAAGAAAGATGGGGAGGGAGAGAATAGAAAAATGGAGAATTGTTATGAAAAAAAAAGAAGAAAAGAATGGAGTATACTAATAATATAAATTAAATAATATAATATTAATATATGTAGAGTAAATAATATAATATTAAGATTTGTTAATTATTTTGTTTTTTAGTCCGACACTGCACCAAACGCCTTCACTAAGTCAGTCCAGCTTAGTCCCTGAAGCTAATCCAGTCTGAGATGATCCGGTGCAACAAACGCACCCATAGAGTACTGGCTTAAATACCAGACAATTAAAAAAAAATTCTTCACATAATTACCCCTCAAAGTGGAGAAAGTGATGAAATGTAGAATGAGTTCCCTTTCACTTGAGGTTTTACAAAATTAGAAATAGCAAGTCCACTTTTATTTTGTTTTCGGGCTGACCCGAACCGCACAATTAGAGAAAAGTTTGGATAGAGACACTTAAACGGAGGAGGATTCTCTCCCCTCTTATTCTCATCTTCTTCCGTCCCCTCCTTTCACTTATTGTTTTTTGTCTTATTGTCTTTATAAAAAAAAATCAATATAAGATGTTGACGTGGCTAAACAGTAATTGTTCAAATAGGAAGGGATGGAAGGGAAGAGAGATTAGGATGGGAGAGAACCATCCTCCCACTTAAACACGCCATTTATATGACACTACTCGCAGAATAATGAGAACACTGAATTTTGGTCCCGTTCTATGTGAGGAGAAATTCTCTTGTACAACCAAGACATAGTTCCAAGTATGTCACATGTACGATAAATATTTGTAAGATGTTGGAAACGTAAATCACTCATCTAATATATGCTCAACGCACATGAAGAACTCATGACAAGAGAGTATCCTTGACATAATGGTGTTCTCGGTGGGGATTTGGCGACACAATGGGACAACTATAATAACGTGTTGAACTCGTCATTAATACAAATCAAACTTAAAACCTCCCACCTCCCACCTACAAGTGGAGTACTAGACCGCAGTACCAGATATCCATCGGCAGCAATCAGCATAAGATGTTATGATCAGAAATTCTCTAGCCACGTCAAAATCTTGTGGGATAGTTGCTGCACTGCGCCGATTGACCGGCTACTCAAATCCCACAAGATTTATCCCTCGTTAGAGAAAATCCCCAATTACGAGTACTTCCAGTAAAAACAACAAAATCAAATACTAATCAGTAAAGTCAAGTGCAGATGGCTTAAGAACCCTAAAAGCCTCTTAAAAATGGCATAACCTATCTACCAGAAACACTCCGACCAATCTGGTTACATCCAACTCGAAACTAAATGAGTCTGACGTTAGTGAATCGTGATGAACTTCTATCAACATAAGATGTTAGAAAACCGACATGTTCAGAGCCACCGTTAAACCCTCGAACCATGTCATCAACGGAGGAGCCTCCGACTACAAGCGACTACAGATTTTATCCCACATCTCCATAAGTAATACCTATTGTCCTACTATAACACAAACAATGTACGTTGCTGCTTGAATTTCTTTTTATCCGAGCAAGATATTCTAATCGATTTAGTCAAAACTCTCTAGCCAATTTCGCTACGCCCGGATTTTAAATCAAAGTCTTCGACAAACAAACCATGTTCTATACAAATTATTCATGCAAATCTGGAAAATCTAATCATTCATAAGCATTAACTCACCAAATAATCAGAATATAAACATGAATTAATATCTAAATTCATCAGCATCAAAATTTGACTAAATAAATAAAACAGAAATACAAATTTCAGATCAAATCTACATGAAACCCTAGAATTTCCGCTCCAAAATTCCGCAATCAGATTAAGTTTTTATAATCTACAAGAATATCAATTGCACAGATCAGTACAAAAAAGATTTGGCCTCACCATGGTTGCGGCGAGATTCAATTAGACACGTCCAGGGACGGCAGCGGCGGAGGAGGTAGCGCCACCAAGGAACGAGAGAAATCCGGCGTTGGCGGGCTCTTGATCGTCGAGAAACAGGTCATCCGGAACCCTAAACGCCCCGTGCGCGCAAACAATGGCGAATCCGATCAACAAACCCGAGATCAGGAGCGAGCCGACGCTGGACATGAAGATGACGACCACGGTCAACACGACGAGTCCGATGAGGGTTTCGGCGTCGGAGAAAGTGCGGCCGCGTATGACGAGGGGCTGATCGGACGCTCGAAACAGGTAGAGGAAAGCCCACGCGCCGAGGAGCGAGAGTAGGACGATGAGGGAGAAAGGATGGGTGAGGAGAGAGAGGGCGAGTACGAGGGTGAGTAGGGACACGTAATTGACGCGGAAGTAGGTGAAATTCTTGCGGATCCGGGAGTAGGCATCGGTGAGGGAGTCGGGTCGGGCCAAGGCGCTCCGGTCCACGAGCTCGTACCAGGGGCGGCGCTGCGAGAAGCCGTTGCGGACGGAGGAGGATAGGCGTGAGATGAACGCGCGGAAGGCGGGGGTGGCGATCGGAGGCTGTGACTGGGCACCGACGGTCATTTGGGCGTTGGAGATCGGAAGCGTCGCTGGGGAGGCCATTATTGGGGCGTTGGATGGCGGGTGTCTTGGAGGGATGTTTTCGATTTGAAGAGGGACAAGAGGCAACAATAGCTGTTTATTTGGAGCGAATTTAGTGAAAAGGCATTCATTCCGGATTTCTTCATTTTAATTTATTAAATTTAGAATTTCAGATTATTTAAATTTGATTTAACGATTAAAATTATTATAAATTTTTAAAAAAAATCTTTATTTATAATTATTAAATTAAATTTTAATGATCTGAATTCTCAAATTTGATAAATTACGAGAAAATAATCGGAGAGATCCCTTTCCTAATTTAGTCAGGGTGAAGGCGATGAAGAAGGGGTAGGATCGAGTATGTGAAGGTATATCCTATCTAATCTTAGGTTCTCAATGTGTCATAATGCAAGACATCCACGTGGAAGACGCACAGATGTAATCCTAGAACCCGCCGCACCCGGTAAGTCCTCAACTTAAACGGAGAAACTGATGAGGGAGGCGGACATTTCGAAGATGAAGCTCCCCAACTAACCAGTGGCGCTTCGTTTTCTTCAGCTCTCGATTTTACCCCCGAAACTTCTCTTTAAATTCCCGTCTTGTACCGATTCTCTGGTTCATCCAAATCGCCGGAAAATCTCTCTCTCTCGTCTGCATTTTCCTTCCGCCAATGGAGTCCTCCGCCGCTGTCCGATCCTTCAACTGTAACTCTCTCTCTTTATCTTTATCTCTATATTTATCTCTCTCTGTATCTGTTCATTCATACATATGTACATACATACATGCATTCATGATATAAATATGTATATATTTGTGTATGTTTGAAGCTTAAGCATTATTAGCAATTTGAGCTAATTTTTTTTTGGAAAACAATTTTAGCTGTTTATTTGTTTTGATTTTTTATTTTGTGAACGAATTGATAGAGGAGGAATCAAATTGCTTTGGATTTTGGAAAAATAAATGGAAGATTTTGAGTTTATTTTGATTGTTTGTGTAGAACTAAGCATGGCTGGTTTTTGCACATAACGTTTTGGTAACGTTGAAGTAAGAAATTAGGCTCCAGTAGGTTGAGATCTGATGGGATTGATCTTGTTATCTTTAACCGGCACGGATTTCTATGATAACGATAACGAACATGTACATCGTGTTTTCTTTCTTTGTGGAGCTGAATGGATCTAATTTAACAAAGCATTCTGAATTGAAACTTGTTCAAATGCTGTGATAAAACTTGAAATATTACTGTCATTAGCATATGAAGGATTTGAAGTCCTATATGCATAATCTGTTTACGTTACTCTGCGAAGTGCAAATTATTCAACAATTATTGAGCTTTGATCCATGGTCTGGTTCTGAGTCACAAGACATTGTCAAATTTCAGGTTCTGTAGGCACGGTTTCCCATGTCGGGTCCTTGCTTGACAAGCGTGGTATGTTGCCTGTGTACAATACCAGAAGGCCCACTCCAAGTAGATCATATTTCCAAGGCTTGATGGTTAGTGAGAAGTTCATTTATTCTTCACAAAAGCGAAAGGGAGTGCTAGTATCATGTGTGAAGACATCTGAAGCTGCTAAGACTGAAAATTCCAGCGGTATGTTTGTGTCTATACAGTATTCAGTAACTAGCAAGTTTGTCCTTGTGAGTGCAATTAAATTAACCAATAACTTGTGATGTTTCCTCTTGGATATTTGTAAAGCTTGATTTCCGTTACATTGTTGCATCTGAAGATAATTTTTGTTGTTGTCAGAATAAATTTACATCTGATTTGATTTCTTTCTTTTTAGTTTCTGTTTCTTAACATTTGGGTTTTCATTTTTCTTTAAATGTGCTTACACGAGCTAATATAGTCTTGAGTAAAAATCTTAATTTCCATCTTAAATATATTTAATGTTGGGCAGTTTCAGCAGATAGTAAACCACAACGCTCATCAGAGAAAGCTGCCCAGCCCACAATTTTTCCTAGTGGATTCGAGGTGAGAATATTTACGATTCTACATAAACAAAAAAGTCATAATTGAACCAGGAATCCTTGTTTTTGTTGTATGACCCTCTGTTCTTTGTTGATGAAGCATACTTGACTTTTTCCTTCATCAGTAGATTTGCAAAGGTATTGTATGGTAACAATGGTTATACTCAAAGTAATCCTAAATCTTGCTTTGATTATGATTGCTTCTTATATCATGATATCGCAAATTGTTACTTGAACGTTTTGATGCAAGATTTTCAACTGCTTTTGAACTTTGAGAATTTGGTATAAATTCAGTCGACTTATACTTCATGCTTTAGCTTTTTGCATTACTGTGCTCCAACTATGCTCCTATTGATTCATTAAAATTTATTAGATTCTATTAATATCAACAATTTTTGGTGGATACTGATGCTGCCTCTAATGCTTTTGCACTCAACCTTCCGGTCTGACACATAGTTGTCTTTATCACCAGGCACTGATGCTAGAAGTCTGTGATGAGACAGAGGTTGCTGAACTGAAACTTAAGGTAAATATCAACACCCATCATGCAAAATGGTACTCTTGAAAAATCTATTGATGTTGCTTCATGTGTACCTAAACATAAAGCATGCATTTTATGGTAAAAACAATGTTTGTTCTTCGTTAAGAATCTGAAAAGAAGTGGATACTCAATATGTTAAGGTAATGATGAGTACATTTTTAGTGTGCCCATGGAGTTGAGTCATAGGGGACATAAATCAAACGTTTTAGTGGTAGATTATGGATTCAACTCCTGGTTAAAATTTCATTAGTTCCTCAGGCTTCTCCTGTTTTACTGGGTTGTCTAGAGTTGATTGTCATTAGAGGTGGTAAATCAACCCATTGGGTTGTTCATGGGGAACCGTTGTTACTGTTCAGACCATTGAATTTGATATCACCATAATATCAAGGTGAGATTGGTAGTGGTGATGATGGTGTAAGGTGAAATCACCAATGGGTTGATTTTCCACCTCTAATTGTCATCAGCAATTTTTTGTTTGTAGTTTACATTCTCTTCTTTCAGTTCTTTGATTGGTTATGTCTCTGTGTTAGGTTGGAGACTTTGAAATGCATTTGAAGCGGAATATTGCAGTCACCAGTGCTCCAGTGCCTAGCATCTCACCAGCAACACCACCACCTGTTCCATCTAAACCTATGGATTCAACTCCTGCTCCCCCTCCAGCATCACCACCAAAAACTTCTGAAAAAACCACTCCATTTACAAATGTATCTGTAGACAAGTTATCAAGGTTAGCAGCCTTGGAGGCTTCTGGTGCTAAGGGATATGATCTGGTTTCTTCTCCTACGGTATGTGTTGTTCCTATGTTCGAGAAACAATTTGGTTCTTTTACTTTGTCCAGGACATTAACTACGACATAGCATCTAGGGCTCACCTTCATCTTCTTTTCTTGTTGGTTCCAGGTTGGTTCATTCCGCAGGGGAAGAACGGTGAAAGGAAAGAAGCAACCTCCCATCTTTAAAGAGGTATCACTTGCATTCCTATGTTTGGCTCAACGTTTTGATTTTGTTTTTTTGCCATAATTTTAATAGGAAATTTACCTAATATGCCATTTGTACATTATCTAGAAAAAGATTTCAACATACAACATAAAACTCCCAGAATATTCTTCTAAACTCCTCATTTAGTTGAGTAAATCAAGGAATTAACTGATTAGTAAAATACTTATATATCTATCTAGAAGATTGCATTTTTGTTAATAAGATCGAATCTAATAAGCCCCATTTTAGGGACAACCGATTCTACAGGTGCTTTCATTGCAACTGCTATTAGGATTTTAGGTAATAAGATCGAGTCTAAATAAGTCCCATAACAGTGTCTCGGAATCTTGATTTCTTTATCCAAATAATGAATGTATTGTAGGGTCACAATTTGTATAACCAACTTGGCAACATAACCTCAATCTGGCTTCTCTTGATTCCAAACTTTACAGGGTGATTTGATAAAAAAAGGACAGGTAATCGGATATGTGGATCAGTTTGGCACCGAACTTCCTGTGAAGGTACGTTTTCCATTTCAGTTCCCTTAATGCCAAGTGTTTCATGACAGACATATCGCTCATGACGGATTCTTGATGTGTTGGGCAGACTGATGTGGGTGGAGAAGTTTTGAAGCTCCTCTTCAACGACGGAGGTATAGTGACTATTATCATTTTTCGATGCAGTAGTTTAATGTTATCAAGTTTGTCATATATACGGTCGTATATTGTGAACTTAATCTAAACCCTACAATTGTCAAGGCTTAAAAGGCTACGAAGGCTCTCTTATTCGTTTATTTGAACTGTTAATGATGTGCAGAAGCAGTTGGTTTCGGAGACCCCCTTATCGCTGTCTTGCCCTCATTTGCCGGTATCCAGTGAGCTCTCACTCTCTATCTTTCTCTTCCCTGTAATCGCTATTGAAAAGCTCCGAAGCTTGCTGTTTTCCGCAGTCAATTCTTCCCGTCGTCTGGTTTACCTTGTGGCATTAGAGGACACGTAAATTTTGCGATATGTATTTCGATATTTATGGTCAGTAAAATTGACTCTGGATCGATCGAGCAATAATTTGATTTAGCTTTTATTATCGTTGTGTTAGTTGGTTGTTAAGTGGTTACATGGTAGATTGGTGAAGCTTTCCTACTAAAAGCAGCTTTGTTCGGAAACAATGAGACTGTTACATCGGCACGTAATGTTACACCGGCATGTAATGTTAAAGAAAATTTATTACTATTTAAATTAATTGCATAACGATCGAAAATTGTTTTTAGATTCTAATTTTTAACTATAAACCAGTATGTTTCAATTCTCATCTCCCCGTCTCGATTTTAATATTCAATTTTAAACTAATTTAAACAGCAAAAATGCTTCGTTGGATATGTGAGCACACGAGAATTGACAGATTATGAACAAGGATATTCAAGGTAAATTAGGGGTAGCTAAAATTGAAGATAAGAGAAAACCGGTTAAAGTGGTTTGGACATGTGAAACAAAGATCTACAGACACTTCGGTTCGAAGATGTAATTACAAGACAGAGACTCAAGACCAAAGGGATAAAGGAAGACTTCGAAAGAGACTAAGAAAAAACTTGAACTACTTAGATCTAACAAAAGACACGGCACAAAATCGACCACAGTTACGTTTTAAGATTCCTACAGCCGACCTCATTTAATGGAATAATGCTTTGTTGTTGTTGAAAAAAAATAAAGAACAAAAAACACAAATAGTGTCATTTACAGAAAAATGAACGGGGCTAAGTTGAAAAAGAAAAAAACACCAGAAAGGAAGAGTTTCTAAACTCTATTTCCTACCATTTTCGCTAACTGTAATCGTCCAGGATCCTCTGAGTGTTTCCTCAGGTGGTGCATCGTGAATTAGCGGTTCTTTGTCAACTGCTTGATTCCGATTAACCGGTTTCCCTCCTATTCTCTGCTGCTGCAGCACTAGCACAGAAAGTGAGCACTGGAAGTCCGGGGAAGCAAGCATATCCCCGATGATTCCGAGCTCCGGGCACTCACTCCACTCACCGAGCCCCGAAAGAAGCGGGGAGTCCTGGTGGTGCATGCCTACCAACATCAAATCAAAACAGTCCACCATTGATTTGATAACAGCAGACAATCTTGCTCCGTCTCTTACCACCTCTTCCACCACAACAAACCGCTCATTGTCTGCATTAGCTAGCCGGTATTCCTCAACCAGGTCACTTTCCCGCTTCCGGTCTTTGCTGTTTTCAGTCACCAAAGAGGAGGAACCGGGCAACTGTTAAGTCCACGCTCGGATGTCTTGCCATGCGAGCGCCATAGGCTAGTGCCTCAGCATCGTCTGCACCACCAATGAAGATCACAGCAACATGGAATGTATACTGGCTGGTTAGAACTGATACCGACCCTCCTAGCAGTCCCCGATCAACGAGAATTCCAACAGAGCAAGGCGCCATTTCGAGGACGTTCATGTTCATGGACTGGAGAGCTCGGTTCACTGTCCCAATGTTGCCATCTACTGCCCATTGCTTGTGAAACGGCAGGATCACCAGGTTAACCCTCTTCTCCATTGCTACGCGGCAAACGTCATCAGTGCATTGTTATATACTGTGAGATGGAAGTGAATGCTTGGAGGGAGGCACGCCCTTGGCTATGCTGCTCGTACTGCCTCAGCGCTTTGACGATATGGCAGGACATGGCTGTGTTGTTGTTAAAGTTGTCACGGGGTTGGTGTGCCACAAGAATAGGGTTGGTTTGCCCCACAAGCTCGGTGAGGACGAGGCCTATGACTGCAACAGGGTTCGCTTCTGTAGCATTTGTTACTTCCAGGACGTTTATGAGAGTGGGAACACTGTCCTGGTTGTGGATACAGGCCAGGATTCGGAGCTCTGACTCGCGCTTCAAATGCTGGATAGTACTTCTTTTCAGTGCTGCGTATTTCTTTGAAGGATCGTAAAAGAACTTTATCAAAGGTGTTACAATTGCTGTCATCACTATCACTGAGAACACGGACAGCGCGAATTCTTGATCAGTCAGAACCTGTAAAAGATTTATCATATCATCCCAGGTGAGCATCGTACTGAAAACAATTAGCGAAAAGGAGAGTTTAAATTAGCGATTGAGATTCAGACCTTGCCTTGCTTCCAAATGTTGTACATAACAAGCTCAGTGATGCCTTTGGCGTTAAGGACAATGCCGAGCACAAAAGCGTCATGCGTAGGCACATCAAAATAGGTGGCTGGTAACATTACTGCTCCTACCTTTACCAGGGCAGAAAAGAGAACGAGAACCCCCATAATCCATGTAGACCGAGGATTAACCCTGAAGATGTTCGTCCTCAGCCCGCTATTGGCAAGGTAGCTTGGGTAGAACAATCCTGTAGCCAAAATTTCCAACTTCATCACCAATGCAGATCCCAAAGGCGGTCCTGCAGGCACGACGTACCCAAGAACTAGAGGTCCCAGCAAGTAATGCTGGCTTATGAGCTCACTGAGAAATCCACACACAAGAACAAACACGAAAATGGTAATGGTATACGACTCCTTGACAGATTTCCCTTCCTCTATACGGTTGAGCATCCATAGAATTGCTGGCCTGAACAAGTATATAATCGAAAGAATAAAAGCTAACAATGTTATTATTTCCAAGGCTGGAACTAACGCAGTTTTCGTCTTGTTACCCAAAATCGCCATGGCCACCCCAACCATACTGATGCCCATAACATCGGAAAACATTGTTACAGAGAGGGCCAGGCGGCCAAGGTCCGTGTTCATTAGCCTGAGCTCAGTTAGTAAACAACCAACCACAGGGGAACTCGATATAACCTGTGATGCGATTATAGTTGGGAGAGCCGACCTAAGGGTCTCGTCCATCGCGACATATTTTCTCATCATCATGGTTAGGCATAAGGGGAGTGCCAAGGTGAAGAAGAACATCGAAAGTGCAATGGAAACTGCTCTTCGTTCAGGCCTTATCGTTCTGCCTGCATTCAGCTTCACTCCCGATGAAAAAAGGAAGAACATGAGGCCGAATGTTGCAATTGTTTCAAACACATTAGCGCTTTTTATCGGGAAGATGGTGTCTGCGATTGCTTTTTGTGCCCCAGAAGCGATGGCCCGAATATTACACCGCCCTGAACAGAATTTCGATTTGTTAGATACACACAGAACGGAAAAGCATGGTGAATTAATTCTTATAGCAAATGGTGTCCAAATGTATACAAGTTCTGTTAATGCAGAGATTGAAATCGTACAAACATCTGAGAAACGAGGGTGGACTGTCCCAGGGGTTTGAAGCAGAGATTGATCAACTGGGAAACAAGGGTGATGATGGATAACTGCACCAGAAGAAGAGATGTGGAGGAAGCGAGAGGGTTCTCGTGGCGAAATAGTCCGCGGGAAGTAATGCTGCTGTGCGGATTTTGGCACACCAAAGTCACATTGTCTATGGCCTGCTCGATGTCTCCAACCAATGCATTCATTTCTAAGCCCATCTCAGCTGCCTCTACTTTTGCTTGCACCTCAAGGAAGAAGAAGAAGAACGAAAGAGAAGAAACCGAAAAACGAAGAACGACGAAGAAGTGGATGCAAACACAAGAATTACACACACACAAAAAACACAGAGAGTCTGAGAGAGGAATGTGAGGTGAAGCTGATATTTTGGGAATGAATATTTTTGACGGGTGAGCTATATCCTACAAAGTACAAAATAGATAATCTAAATTCGATCCTTGAGAAAACTGCGGGTGTTTATATCATAATTATTATTAATTAAACAAAATATAAGGTAATTAGTAACTACTAATCCAACCTGAGTTTGATTGAAATGTTCCGAATGTTCTTGTAAGTTCTTGCTCTCGTAGGACTATTTGTGTCTCTATGTATTAGGATCCTGATTCATGGATCTCTTGGTTCAAAAAATAAAAATAAGAGGATCAAACCACTTCTTCTAACTCTTGTTGAAATTTAATAAATGTTGGTTGATTGTATATCGGACACGACGAGCATAAACACTATATGTAATTTCTTTTATGATGGACTGAATGTCTTTCATAAGGAATCGGAGGAATACGCGACGAATTTTTCCGGAAAATCCCCAACAAAAAATACACAATATGCCTTCTTCTATATTTCCCTCTCTACAGTTTGAGCTCATTTTTTTTAACATTCCACAATGCTCGTGCCCACCCGGCACAAGATTTAGCGACCACAGTTTGAAAAACAACTTACATAGCACAAATATGCTACCACTGTGACGACCTGTGACAACAATACAATGTCATATGAGGATAAAATACAATATGAAGAGAACATTACATGTCACATTATATCATTGACTTGGGCCAGAATTTCAACCAGTCAGTACACAGTTTTTCTTTTGATGATTTATTATGGTTGATATTAGAATCATATTGGAGAATTTTTTTAGAATGAATCGGGATCATGGCTCGAATCTTTAGCTAAAAACACAATGACTACAAGTAAGTATCAAACGGTTAAGAATCATGACATGAACGATTCATTATAGGGTTCTCCCATAAGACCGACGTGGCTTCCACGTGGCATAAAATAAACAAAAAAACAATGGGCCAGAATCTCGAGCCATATCTCAAAAAAAAAAATAGGAATTTCAAAGCCTGTGGGCAAAGTTAGCGGTTTTGGATTGGGAAGTAAAATTGTGGGCCAATTTTATAATTTTTGTCGCCATTAACACCAAAAGTCAGTGACCGACCACTCTTTTCTGCGGCCCTTCAATTAATTAATTAATTATTATTTATCCCAAAAAAAAATAAGAAATAATTAATCGTCTGCATTTCCCTTCCTCATTAATTTGGCTATTTATAGTAAGTTATTTTCCACTCTTATCCTTATCCGCTGATTCATCACCTTCAAGGCTTCAACCCTTCTACTTCTGCAGGCGTTCTCTCACCCTCGCTCTCTTGGTTGCGACGTCGTTTCGAGATTTACAGCATCAAGCAACTACCAGACCGGCGATGGACGTCATTTCCAGGACCACGACGATGTCGTCGAATCTGAATCCCAACGCTCCGATGTTCGTGCCGCTGGCGTATCGGACGGTGGAGGACTTCTCCGCCGAGTGGTGGGCCCTGGTCCAGTCCTCCCCTTGGTTCCAAGACTACTGGCTCCAGGAGCGCTTCCAAGATCCCCAAAACGACCCCTCATTTTCCGATATTCACGATCCTGCCCTCCTCTCCGATGTCGACGCCCTCTTCGACGACGTTGAGAACATCCATTACTCCCCCAACACTCAGCGTAAGCATTTCTAACTATAAGTGCTTCTAGATCGCAGAAGCACTTTTTAGAGAAGCGCTTGTGCTTTCCTAGTAAGCAATCCAAGTGTTTTTCGTGGAAATTTTAACATCAATGTCAATATTTTTCTAACAAAAGTACTTCTAGCAAAAGCAGCGGAAGTTCTTTCTGCAGAAGCAGTCCCAAACGAGTCTTTTGCCTTTGAATCTCGCTCGAGTTTACGATCTGAGTCGCTAATTTTGAAATGTTTGTGGTGTGCAGCGGCGGAGGAGGAAGAGAAGGACTTGAACAAAGAGCTGGTTTCGTTGGGATTGCTGAAATGGCGGAAGGGCCGACCCGTGGCGGAGGCGCCGAGGTACATCGAAAAGGCACCGAAGATTGTGAACGTGAAAGTGAGTCCCAGGGCGATTCAGCAGCCGAGGTAGACCGAGCCGGGCGGCGCTGGATGACCGAGTTTGACGTAGTGTTTCTTGTCGTTTGTAGATAAGCATGTATCTAGCTTTCAGTGTTTGTTCCATGTAACTGTGTTCTACCGTTCGTACTTGCTTTGATGAATAAAGTAAATCTAATTTGAAATTAAATTTGATTATTTTGTTAAGCAAAGTTAGCAACTAATTTCGTTACAGTATTTCTCTCACTTGTTAGAGGTTTTAAGTTTCGTTCTCGTCGAAAGTGATCGTTTCTATTTTAACAGAAACTAAATTACAAAAATGAAGGTTGTGTGAAGAGTTCAGAAGGTATTGACCACTCTCACCCGAGTTAGGGTACTACTCACAACTTCAAGCATAAAAGACTTACGCATAGCATATAATTGCCAGTTACCGCTAGAATGAATTTATGTAGGATTTACAACTCGCGCACCAATGAAAACTGCTAGCAGTGGATACCGAATTGTCATTGGGAGTCAACTACAAACACAGTCATTACCAACTGAACTAACTCTCGTTGAACATCGAGTCTCCATTAACCGTTCGTACATTGTTTGCGTAGTTTAAGGAGTAAGATTCTCTTCTTTCTTTTTCTCATTCCCTTCTCTTCTCTCCTCTCGCACATTGTTTTTTGTTTTATTGTCTTTATAAAAAAAATCAATATAAGATATTGACGTGATTTAACTGTAACCGTTCAAATAGGAAGCGAGAGAATGAGAGAGAGATTAAAAGGGAAGAGAATCTTTCTCCGTAGTTTAAAGGATGAAAGTAAAATGAATTACCTTCAATCTTCTTGATGGCCTTCAAGACTTTCTTGATGCATTATTCACAGTACAATCCCACCTTCAATTCCACAACCTAAGAAGAACGAAAAACTGGCTCCATTAGTTTCAATAAAAATAAAAAGTAAACAATTTTCAGTCATTTGAGATGGATCTTACTCACATTTCCCATTCAATTTTGATGGGAAACAATACGTGTTAGTATACTACGCTATCCGAGCATATTTTTTTGTGTCTATAAAACTCGTGCATCATCTCTTGCTCGTTGTAAACACAATCAGCCCAAACTCAAAAATTCTCTTTGCGTGTCTTGAGCGGATATGTTATTGTGACATAGCTGCTCACACCAAAGGAATGGATCCACTTCTTCTTCTTCTTCCCCAAATGGTGTCTGATAGTGTAAAATGCAAAGTTTAAATCATATGTCACCGTGTGAGCTCGAAACTAAAAAATCTTACAAATGCAATCAACTGGTATCGTTTCAACACATTCACATTTGGACGGCCATTTCTTAACAACTCTCTCTCTCATGTGCCTGTCTGATTTTATCATTTATGGCGTTGCCAAATTACACACCTCTTTGATTTGAATTGCAAACAGTTTTAGACTTAACCAATTTGGTTAAGAAAAAGAGAAAATTGTAGCAATCGTCTATTAATTTTAACCCAATTGGAACGTTGGTCTCTCAAATAAAATTTGTAAAGATTGATCATTTAACTCAGTAAAATGTGCAGCTATAGTCATTTTAATAAACTCTATCTAAAATCTCGTCAAAGTGAGTCATGGTGGAAAAATCATTGGTACAGTTGGGTTAAAATTGAGAAACCACTGCTAAAATTTTCTAATTTTTGTTTTTCATATTTGCCTATTGATTCAGTTTCATGTGAGTGGCACGTGACTCATTTTGATAAAAGTTTGATGAAGTGACGAAAATGACCATAGTTAAAAGACCATCACTGCTCCAATTTAGTTAAAATTGATTAACCATTACTACCATTTCTTCGAAGAAAAACACTGATTTGAGTTACCTATAAAACTGATAAACCCAAAAATTAAAAAATAAAAAATTAAAAAAACTGATAAACTCCAACACGCCACGTGTCCATCTATTCAATGATTGGTTGCTTCCTCTCTGCCTTTTCATTGCAATTTACTGTTTTGCTTTACCAAAATTCAACCAGAACCCAATTATTTATAATCTCCTTTTTTTCTCACCCTCGAAAGTCTTTCGCTTTTCTTCCTTCTTCAGCTTCTGGGTCAAATTCTCTTGCAACTCTGAGTCTCTGGAGGCTCAGACTGCTGGGAGTATTGAGAAATGGGGTTGTTGGGAAGCTTCATAAGGTTCCTGTTGGGGCAATGGTGCAAACCCACCACCACCGGAGGGGACTACTCTGAATCACTTGGCCCTCACGGCGTGTCCGCCGCCACTGTCGGCGTTTCGGCTCTTGCCCAAGACCTCTACAACTTCGAGATCACCTCTCAGGTAACCTTTCTACCACTAATTGAACCATTTAATCACCTTTTTTTAAGGTAAAAGCTTAATCTGAGTAAATGGATGATGATTTTGGGTGTTTACCTTTCTGGGTTTTGTTAATTTTGATCGCATTCTCTTAAAGTCAACTTCTTTTTTCTTCTCAATTTTGTATGATTGCGATTTTTAAGGTCCCAGAAGGGCTCGCTCAGCATGTGGTCTCGTCCAGGAAGGCTCAAGCTAACTGGTAATTAGCAATTGATTAGCAGTCTAATCTCATTAAGGGGAAAAAAGGTCTAGACATTGGAGAAATTATATCCATAGTTTACTGAACTTGATTTCTTCAAATTTCCTAACTGTGTAAAGGTATAGAAAACTAGTTGTCGCATGGAGGGAAGCCAAACCGCCACCAAGAACACCCGAAGAAGCGGCTAGGCTTGTTATACAAACCCTGAAACAACACCAAAGGCCGGATGTTGAGGTACATTGCCACAAAATTCCGACTGTTACATGTTTCTCATAACTGTGATGAAATATAGTAACGTATAAATTCTTCTGTGATTGTTTGTCTTTAGGGTTTATTGGCTTTCTACGGCCTTCCTCTTCCACATACTCTGGTCAGTCTTTCTGCTGAGGTCCCAACTTCGTTGCCTCAAGGAGTAAAGTACGAGTTCCGGACGCTGCCGGTAATAGAAACTTTTTGCTCTCAAAGTACTTCTTTTCAGTTTTCACCAGTTTTCACCACTGCCAAGTGCCTGCAAACTAGTTCTGAGTTTTGATAGGTGAATCATTTTGGATAAAACCAGGTTGATGGAAAAGCGATTCAAGATGGCGATTCGTTGACAGTCTACGTCAGCACAGAGGATCCCAGGGAGTCGTCCTTTGTTCCAATCGATGTGCAAAGAGCTGCCATTCAAAGATCGAAAGCTCGCGCCGTGAGGGACTATACAAAGGCAGATGCACTTAATCAGAAAATCAAAGATGCTGGATACGGGTTGGATATTCATATGCCACTTGCATAAATTCTGCATGATTAATCATTTTGAACACAGAAAAGGTTTCTAATTGCGTTTTTCCTCTCCATTCAGGGTACTGAATATTCAAAACGAGGAGATCCTTGCCCGAAAGTATAGGATCCGTCTGAGGTAAAATCATCTGCTTTTATGATTTCTACTAGCTGCAACATATATTCTACCAGTGAAAGTTAATCGATTCTAAGAGAAAACAGGGGTATAGATGCACCCGAGGGTGAAATGCCCTATGGAGAAGAAGCCAAACAGGAGCTGGTTAAGCTTATTCAGGGCAAGCGTTTGAGGGTTCTTATCTATGGGGAAGATCGTTACGGGCGCTGTGTAGGTGACGTATACTGCAACGACATATTTGTACAGGTATTATATGGCAGCCAACGTTAATATCTGTCTTGTATGTAATACCAATAAGTCTTGATATCCGTTTACAATCTCATCCAGGAAGTAATGCTCAAGAAGGGGTGTGCATGGCATTACGCAGCCTACGACCAACGCCCAGAATTTGCAACAGTGAGTAAAATCATACTGCTAATTATGTATCTTATTTGATGAAGTGTAATTAGTACAGAGTAAAACAGCACAATTCTAGCAAGTTGGAAAGTTAATTATTTTCAACATTTCGACTCATGAATCTACATTTGATTTTCACATGTATCAATCATAATAGTGGGAAGAAAAGGCTCGGGCGAAGCGAGTTGGGTTGTGGGCTTCATCAAACCCTGAGAAGCCATGGGATTGGAGAAGGGATCGGCGTGAAGGCAAATGATGTACAATCGAGATGTATCGGTCTCTCGGATGTACAAACATTGTTTCTTTTGTAATGTTAGTGCTATTCTCTATTAGCTATATGCAGTACTCTAGAAAAACATCAGAAATCAAGTTACGAGGATCATCCAACCGCAAACTAGGGTCACCAATGTTAAGAACAAACCGGACTGGGAGATGAGCCCTCCATTGGTGACCCACGCTTGGCGAAGATGGTTGATAAGAGTTCATTTGTTTTAGCTCATAACTTAGTCGATGGTGAATTAGAAAGTAAACACTCATTTGTTTTAGCTTGCTGTTATAAACACTAAGCTCATATGTTAATCCAAGACAGGTAAAACAGTCATCAACTATCAAAACTTATCTCAAAGAACAAAAACAGAATTAAAGAGCAGAGGAAGGTTCTGAAGCTCGGTAGAGAATGAAGAGACAGTAAATACGAACCCTTCCATTACTAAGCAATGCAAGAAGATCGCATCGAAAACTAAACTGCAAAGTGTCTCCAATAACAGTGGGAATGGAAGAAAATTAATCAAACCCAGAAGTGAACTCAAAATTGAGAAAGAACATTTGGCCTTACTTCGTGTCGTCTTGCAATTCATCCGAGTTAGAATCACTTGCGTTGTAACCTAATCGAGACCACCACGGAAACAATTACAACATATAAGGTCACTACCAAAACGGTGTCCAAACACTGAAAGACAGACGGGGGAGAGATAGTACCTGGAGGCTTATCGCTCACTTTCCAAACCGAAGCTCTACTTTTCGAAGCTTTATTCATCCAAGCATGTCCCTGATTACGTGCACAACTCACAAGTTCAGACAGCGGAAACAACTGCAAGATTAACCAGTCTCTTTTGACACAAAAACAGAAGGCGAAAACAAGCCAGCGTTCGCGTCCTAACGAGGCACGAAGAACACATTCATGAATCCTTTCGGCATTCATAGCAATGCCAATGACACCAGGGAATAACGGAACCATACATTTCTGATTTGGAGTTTCGTGAACTGAGGCAACAGTACAACAACAAAACTTTTTCCCACTAAATGGGATCGGCTGTATGAATCCTAAAACTTCATTGCCCGGTTTTGTGCCGTGAAATGAGGCAACAGTACAACAACAAAACGTTTTCCCACTGAATAGGGTCAGCTGTATGAATCCTAGAACGTCATTGCCCGGTTTTGTGCCACGAAACTGAGGCAATAGCATTTACCAATAACTGACAGTTAACTCAATCCTAACTGACAGTTTTTCTAGTGCCCACATTAAAGATTAAGTTAAAATTTAAGAAAAAAATTCAGTAAATTTAAGAAATTAAATTATAAAATGTAGAACAAAATTGCAAATTTAACAGACAAAAAAAAATAAGATAGTGCAAGGACCTTTTTGGGGTCTTTGGGAACACCATAGCCGCTGCAATACATCTGACCCACCAACACCTGCATGGAGCTATCCCCCGCCTTTGCCTCCTTGAGCGTGTCCTGAAACCACCGCCGCACGCAGTCCGACACCACCCGGGCCAGAGGAACCCGGTTCTGCCCCTCGGAGCTCTCCATCCTCAGCTTCACCCGCTCCGGGTCGACCGGTTTCGGCTGCGGGGACGAAATTCGAACTTGGGACACTTGCTTTGCGCGCCTGGACCGCGGGAGCTTGTCGGCAGCGATAATTCGGGTCAAATCTTGGAACCGGGTCGGCCAAGGTAGTGCCTTTCCCATCAATGAAATCAATCAAAGTAAGTAATTTTCTTTTGGGTTTAATGGGTTTGATTTCTTATCGCGATTTCATAGGTGGGGATCTGAAACTCCTACACACTTTCAGATTTGGCAGATTGTTTGGTGTTTGCATGTTTTTTTTTTTTTTTTTTGGGGTGAGTTGTCTGATTATTATTATTATTTTTTCCGACCTTTTCCTTTTCTTTTTTTTTTTCTAACAATAATTTCATAAATAAAAGTTCTGGGCTTCTTATGAACTATATTTGGGCTTTGATGATCCTAATCTCGCCTCACTTACAACACGTGTCCAAATTTTTTATTATACTCTTAGTGCTATCTTCATTTCACACCATTTAAGTTTTGCGATAATTTTTAAAATGGGTCATTGAGATTTTCTATTTGATCATATTTCGTTATAAAGTTATGAACCCTTTCAATGTATCTTTCAAGTTGTTAGACCATCTGGTCATTTCTTAAATTGATGACGTGATAAGTGTGAGATTCGTTTATTGGTTAACGTTGAAGTTACATTTGCATCACATGAACAAAAAAGACAATACTCATCATAGAGCTTTAGCTTCTCCTAAATCCAAAAACGACAACCAATTGAGCACACTCTAGTCTAAATTGTGTAGGTGTGCATTATACACCAGTTCATAAACAATTCTTGCATATAAACGTTATTTATCTAACGAAGGATTTGTGAGGATGTGAAGGTAAAAGAGTTCTACATCAGTGAAAGGAGAAACTTTGCAAATGCTGATAAGAGGTTGTGCTATTCCCTATATTGCTAATTGATTTTATGGTAGAACCTCAACTTTATTTATGGTATCAAAGCATGTTGGCCCACGTGTGAAGCCCAACGGCCTCAAGTGCTACACGTCGCCCAAATCATGTAGTCCACATGTTTGGCTTGAAAATTCATCACACGTGAGGGGACATGTGAGAATGTGAAGGTAAAAGAGTCTCACCTTGATAAAAAGAGAAACATTGCAAGTGTTTATAAGATGTTGTGTTACTTACTATATTGTCAATCAGTTTTACGGTGGAACCTCAACTTTTTTTAAAATTACATGTTAATAAATGAAGTATATAAACTAATACAATTTCAAAATCTCATTTTGAGACCCACCTCAATTTAAATTGATAATTGCAGATTGCTGTTCAAACTTAAAATCTCTTCCGATTTTGAAAAATGACCACAAACAGTGTTGTCAAATCTCTATTTTGACCCAAGGAAATGACTTGGCCATGCCTTGGACATCAAGGATGTGAACCTGTCGATAATCTGATATGGATAGAATTAGAGGGTGACATTTTCAATAACCTTTTGTTTTGTATATGCAGCTAAAACTAAATCATAGCCCTTGGTGAGAATCCGCCAAAACGCCCCATTCCATCCATGAAAACTGACTGCATTCCAAAATCTGGACATCCATAGCAGTCCCCATCTATTTGGATCGAGCTTATTGGCTGCACTGTTCCTAACTTGACAATTTAGCAAAAGACCACTGTGGACAAATGTATAGTGAAGGTGCATGTACAATTGGCTTTTAACCACGTGGTCATGGGATCGACTTCCACAGATAGCGCTAAATGTTAATGAACAAAATCGGGTTGATCTTGGAACAATGTAGACTGTAAATCACACATACCCATGAACACAACGATGTATCGTGGTTCACTTCAAGTTGGGATTACGTCCATATTGATGTAAATCCGGTTTTTACTATGTAAAATGAGAGTTACATTGTACATTGAGGCTTGTTGTTAGAGACGCTAAGGTTTTCCTCCATTAAAATGAAGGTGAAGGATCCTTTTAGAAGGAGATTATATTCACACACTTCAAATTACTTATCCCACACATTTTTTATTTTTTAATATTCTATCAAGTGTTACTGGTGTGTAGAAAATATTAAAATTTTAAAAAGGTGTGGGAGAAGTGATTTAGGGTGTGTGAATATAATCTCTCGTTATAGAATAAGAGTTTCCTCCCCTCTTACATACATCATAAGTTAAGTAACGAGACCCAAACATTGAGGCCCAATCTATGATACAACAAAATTAAATTAATTCCAACATTCCAATTTTATTTGCATCCTAATCCTAAACGACTAAAACCCCATGTCCGAATCAAGATACACTTAGTTGCTTATATTCTTCTTGAAAAAACGTAACTAAGCTTCTATCTTTTTGGTTATATATTCTTGATTAATTTAAAAACCAATGCTTATCTGAAGGATAATCAACCACTTGGTTTTGGCAAAATGTGAAACCAGTCAAAACTATAAAATTTAAAGCCTAATTGCCTGCCGTCTTCAATAAATTCAAATCAAATCAAAAGATTTGGTAAATGCCGTAGTACTTGTAACCAACACGAGCTGACTGAGTAATTGATAATGAATTTCAAGCTCGTATTTTCACATCACATCTTGCGTGGTGTATCACGCAAAGCTAGTCAAAGGAAGACTAAAATGTCTCTATAAGTCATTTCGACCACCAGCTAGTTTCCTTTTTGAAGATAGAAATGTCGTAGTGCTTATATTAAGGGAAATAATTTTTATACCCTATTTTTTTATCTCATCTACGCTTTCTATGATATTTAAATTAAATGGAGCAAAAGAAGCTTGTAAGTAGTACGTTGAAACTTTCACGCGTAGAATACATGATATATACTTATATAGCCCATCAAGTTTAGTAGCTTGTACGTTAACTTCGTAATCTAACTAGTAGAATCCTAGCTCGTGAGAAGCATCGTGTTAAATTAGGTTATGAAGGAGACATGTATTAAGAGGCATACACACACTCCACAATTAAATTAACTTAAGATCTATCCTTAACTCAAATGTATAAAGAGTAAAAGAGTTTGTAATTCAATTGAGTAAGCGTATTTATTGTTGCACCCAATGTTATGAGTTCAGTTCTCCCCTTCCTCACTATCGCTTGAATCAAAACTCAATTAATAAACTACTTTACATGAACAAGTAAAGAAATATGTGTATTGAAATTTCTTCGATACCTATTTCTAGGGAAATAGGGGTTGAAGTGTAAACTTCACAAAATATCCGATAAACATTTAAATTTCGGTTAAAATCAATGTCGATATTTTCGACATATTAGTTAAATGTCGACAAACAACTATATGTCGCCCCTAAAGTTTCATTTTAAATGTTCACGTTTTTTAACAAATTTCTATCATTTACATCGAAGACGACTGATTATCAAAATCTCTCAATATTTCCACAACTTTACGATTTAATATTTTCATCAATATCCATACTGATAGTATGTGACGCGTTTGCTTATGTTCTCAGAAGTAGAAAGGTCCACAACAATTAATAACGTACAATTAGTAGATTAATTAGTGATTGACCATTTCTTATACCCCACAAAATGCGCAGCGAAATAATTGAAAAAAACAAAACATAGTGGAAAAATTGTAAAGAATAATGGAATGACGGGACCCAACTAGTGATTAATTATTGGTATATGATCAATTAGATTGCATATACGGTGATCATATGATAAACGAGTAAATAGATTATCTCTGGATCCCTTTCATTAAATTCACTAAATTAATCAATTCGAATTCTTGAAATTTAATCTAACGGCTAAAAACATAGACTATTTTTAAAAGTTATAATAATTTTAACTGTTGAATCAAATTTCAAGGACTTGAATTAGTGGATTTCGTAGATTTGATCGAAGGGATATGTCTGATAAAATATATTTAAGATGATAATTTTTGTGTGTTTTCAAATAAATTATCAGTCAATTTCCATGATCGATCGCGTTAACAGCAAAAGTGGGAAGTAGTCTTCATCTAATAGGAGCACCGGATTATCACCATGCAATTTGCATGGCCCCTCAAACAGTCATCATTTCCTACGTAAGCAAAATTTGTGGGTTCCAGGTGGAAAGTCACTAAAAATAAAACAGCCCAAACCAAACAACTTTTATTTATGGGTAAATTATAAAAAATTATCTCAACTATTAGGTCATTAACAGTTTCATATATCGTCTTTAAAAAGTTTCATGTCATACTTTTTCTTCGAATTTATTGCAATGTCATACCTTCTATTAGTTCATCAGGTAAATGCTGACGTGACATAAGACGGAATCCATTTTTTATTAAAAAATTATTAAAAACTTTAAAAAAAAAAAAAAAAAAAAAACCCATCAGTCGTCTACCCCTTTCCCCCTTCGTCTCTTCTCCCCCATCTTCATCTTCTTCCCCTGACCCCTGTAACCCAGAAAAAAGAAAAAAAAACCATCAGTTCGTCTTCCCCACTCCTCCTCCTCCTCCTCTCTTCTCCCCATCTTCATCTTCTTCCCCCTGCAACCCAGAAGAAAAAAAAAGAATTTCAGTTCGTCTTCCCCCCTCCTCCTCCTCCTCCTCCTCCTCCTCTCTTCTCCCCCATCTTCATCTTCTTCCCCTGACCCCCTACCTGCAACCAAAAAAAAAAAAAAAAAAAAAAACCCTAGATCCTGTCTAATGCCATTGCCGGGTTTGTGAGGTGGAATCAGGAAACCCCCTTCGCCAAGCCAATTCCACGAGTGGAGAGGCGGGGAGAAAATGGGAGGAATGAGTGTGGATTTAAGGAGTGGGGTGTGTAAAGGAGGGAAGAGGGTGGGTGTGGGTGCGGGTGCAGGTGCGGGGGGAAGACGAACTGGGTTGCAGGTAGGGGGTCAGGGAAAGAAGCTAAAGATGGGGGAGAAGAGAATAAGAAGAGGGGGGAGGGATAGACGAAACTGATGGTTTGTTTGTTTTTTTTTTAAAATTAATTATTATTTTAATATTTAAAAATATGAAATGATTTTTTTTAAGTTTTTTTATAATATTTATTAATTTTTTAATAAAAAGTGGACCCCGTCTCATGCCACGTCAGCATTTAACTGATGAACTGACAATCAATTGACGGAAGGTATGACATTGCAACAAATTTGAAAATAAGGTATGACATTAAAACTTTTTAAAGACAATGTATGAAATTGTTAATGACCCAATAGTTGAGGTAATTTTTTTGTAATTTACCCTTTATTTATTTATAACATGTATCACTATGTAGTTTTAGAAAAGCAACTGTTAAATTTTACATACAAAAATTCGTTAAATTTTTGTAACCGTTAAATCCGGCATAAAAGATGTATTGTTGAGTGGTACATACCTGAAACCAAACCAAAGTCTTTGTTTTTTTTTTTTTTTTTTTTTTTTCAAACCGTGTTGAAATTACCACATTTTTTTCCTTAAAAATGGGACTAGCTAGTGGTTTTTCCATGCTAGTCTACCTTTCTGAGAGTTAAAAGACTCATAAAGGCATTTCAGCCTCATTTTGACCATAATCACATAATTCACTAGCGTCAGAAATCTAATCCAAAACATAATGTGTGGTATATTTGTCTGTAATTTGTCCCCGACTACTAGCTACCCCGTGATGGTTAAATATGATGTTTTGTTGGGTTGATTCTCATTCTCTACTATATACTGAAGAGTAAAGCTAGCGAGACAAACTATTTAGACTAAATTTTGCATATCATATGATGCGGTTGTCGGTAATTAGATTTATCTAGTATAAATTAACCATATTTATTTCCTACTCGTGTCCCATAGCTTAATTTGTAAATTTAGTCTAAAAACTTGGTCTACATAGCATACGCTGTACTGAATATGATGGGTTGATCAACTACTTATTCCCTTTTTTATTATTGATATAATAAGACTTGGGGTAAGATTGAGAGTGACAATTCAAAGAATATTATGCAAGGAGATTGGAATAAATTCCACGTAAAATCCTTTCGAATGTTCTTTTTATTACGAAATCCTTTCGAATGTTGGATTTGGATGCCTAAAAGGGCTCAACTATGTCCAAATTCACACAAATGGAATGGTTGTTCAAGAATATACCTCATGTAAGAGCATCATTTTGTTCTTAAAAACTATATTCTTTATTCAAAAAATAGGGGAACAAAAGTTGAATTTTTGTTGTGAAAATATATTAAATATTGTGGATACGGGGCTACCGTTCTTTAGAATCTTCACTGTTTACAGAATGCTTTAATAAAATCGGAATGATTTTCGCTGACATTTTCTCTTTATGCACAATTACGTATAACTTTTTTCTTTTGGTTCTTTTTTTAATTTATTTAATTTCAAAGCTAAAATTAATAGGAGTATGCAAAAGTGTTGAGAGTAAATCCCACGTAAGAAAAAGGAGGGATCTTGCATTTGTTCATAAGAGATTTGGTTGCTTCTCATATTGTTAATTGATTTTATGGTAAAGCCACAACTTCTTCATAGTATCAGAGCATGTTGTGTTATGCGTGAAGCCCAACGACCGCACATGCTCTACGTTACTCAATTTATGTTGTCCACATGTTAGGCTTGAAAATTTCTTATACGTGATATGGTGTGTTGCGAGTGAATCTCACATCGAAAAAAGGTCCGACATCGAGAAAATGAGCGATCTTGGATGTGCTTATAAGAGATTAGACTACTTCTTGTACTAACAATTGGCGTATTGAGAGTGAATTCCACTTCAAGAAAAATGAGAAACCTTTTATGGACTTATAAGAGACTAACCTACTTGCTATATTAACAACTAATTTTATGGTAAAATCTTAAGTTAAAAAAAAAAAAAAAAAAAAAAAGTGATGATGTGTGCATCCCCCTATTTTGGCTTAATATCTTTGTATATTTATATAAATTTGTCTTGATATATCATGTTCGGACAAACAACTTATCGCAGCTGCCGATCAAAAGACTAAATCAAGGAAAAAGAGACATCTTTCCGAGTTGATGTCATCTTTTAACCCAAGTTTCACATAAAGTAGTTGCAGAGGGTTTGAATGAGACAATGACCACAGAGGGCAGCCTAATTAAATTATAATTTTGTAAATCATTCAACTTTCTTCATGACGATGTCACGGTGGAGTTATGTCAGATTATAAGAATTAAATTATAATCAATTGTTGTTGTAGTAGTCTGAAGTCATATGTCAAGTTTTGTGTTTCTCCAACCAAATTATCGAATATTATTTTCTTATTATTGAAGAGCTTTAAATAGTTGTTTTTCATTTAACAAATTGTTGAAACAAAATTTTCTTTGGTTGAAATATTAGTGGAATAAGAAACCTATCATTAAACTATAAAAAATAAATTTGACGTTGATGTCAAATTGACTCCTAATCACAAAGGTTTAAATCCAATTAGCAAATAAACACTTGGATTAGAAGGATTTTTTTTTATGACAAATATGCATAGTGACATTTACACCTAAAATTTGACATCTCATTTGAAGATGTTCTTAGAATGCTCTTCAATCTCCATCATAATATATTAATTACTATGTGTGATTAAATTATGTTAGATATAACAAAATTTCAATAATTAAGATGAGGATAATATCGTTGTGTGATCATCAAAAATTTTTCATGGCAGATTATGATGTGACGATTAAAATTGCATGACAATATTGTCCTCATGGCAGATTATGATGTGTTAATCAAAATTTCTACCTATTATTATTATTGGTTTGAGGCAATATTTGGTCATGAAAGAAAATTTTTATTAGTTGAAATGTTAGTGGAATATGAGATCTACCATTAAACTATAAAAATTAAATTTGACGTTGATGTCAAATTAACTCCTAATTACAAAGGTTTCAAATCCAGTCAGCAAATAAACACTTCGATTAGAAGGATTTTTTATGTCAAATATGCACAATGGCATCCACCACTAAGATTTGATATCTTTTTTGAAGATGCTCTTAAAATGCTCCTCAATCTCCGTCATTATATTAATTACTATGTGTGGTTAAATTATGTTGGAGATAACAAAATTTCAATGATTAAGATGAGGATAATATTATCGTGTAATGATCAAATTTTTTCATGACAGATTATGATGTGACGATTAAAATTACACGACAATATTGTCCTCATGACAAATTATGATGAGTTAATCAAACTACCCACCTATTATTATTATTAGTTTGGGGCACTATCTAGTCACATTTGAGGTTGTTTAGTTTAAAAATTGGAGAATTTTTAGTATGTTTCGGGCAATATATATTCTGTTAGACTGCTACTTAATGATACAATAATTAAAATCTAATAGTAAAAAACTTTGGAATATAGGATATCATTGACTGCTACAGCCTGCAGGTGGCGGATTCATTATCCTAGTGATCAAGATCTTCTTCTTCAGTCCGCTGCGTTTCAGTTGGGTAACAAGTTTAACAAGTTTATGAGAGGTCGAATCTGGTGCAGGGATTGTTGCGTTCAAACCGTGGCCTATTAGCACGAATACGACACAATCAACGATCATTATTAGGTTTGGGGAACAATAATCCATGGACACAAATTGCTGGCGTGATAAAATTGGCCCCACAAAACAAAGAACACGAGTTACATGTGTGTGTGACGGATTCTCCTTCGGTATCTGAACCATTTTACTCCGACAAGATGGGATCGACGGTCGGATATGTTTCATGTCCGTTTACCCTCGGATCCCCATTTTGCTTAAAGAGGAACGTCTATCTGGAAAATACCATGCCCCGTGCATGCATCTGCTGAACGATCATGTGGACGAGCATATCCACCGTACACGTGGCTTGTGATATTTGATAAAATGAAATTTTCATTCGATGGCGAAAAATCTTGAGTTACAATTGGATATTCACGAGAAGTTTTTTTACTGTACTGGGAATGTAGTTCAGTAATAAGTGCTATTATACAATTGGTTGAATTTTTTTTTTTTTAAGTTTTGAATCAATTGTATTATTACATTGGTATACCAAACCTTGTTCTTGACCCACGAAAAAATCTCTTGATTTTCACCGTGTTCTATTTCTCTCCACATGTGAAACGAATTGCTTCCCTTGATACGACAAAATCTTGCTTGCAACTTGGTGGATATTGCAACGTACAGTTTTCTCTCAACACATGATAATAAAAGAAATATTCATTGTTGAGAAATGCTAAGCAAATTCTCTCGAAAGTAATTCTCCATGAACTTCAACAACCTTATGTTTTTTTACCCAATATTTTATAATATGTCACGAAAATGAACTTTAAATATAAAATAACAAAGAGTTCATAAAGAGAGTCCTTCGTCATTTTGTTTTCAGAATGTTTTTAATTTTCAAACCGGTGCCAAATGAACGTTTATCAAACTGACCCTACCCTTAACAATTTTCCCGTCCTATTTCCCACTCAATTCAACTTTTATCACTTAATTTTAGAATAATTAGCCATTTAGTCAACAACCAGCGCCAGCCAAGCCGCCACTTGGAAATTAAGAAGTGATAAATATTGACTATTGACTCGCATACGCAATCACTTATCATTCATATTTGACCCTCTCAACTTCCAAGGATTTCCAATTTTCCATCTGTCAAGTGACGTCATAAATGTTTTATTTAATAAAAATCACTTCTAAGCCCGGTGTCAATTGGAGGTGCACCATAGTATTCTCTGTAACACTGTCACACTGAGCTTCCCAGGAACTGGGTTTTACTCCACCTCAGTCATTTTTGTCATTTTATTTTAATAATATTTATTTAAAAATAAAAATAAATAAATAACTGAGAACATATCACGATTATCATTTTTTTCAAATTAAAAAAAATTACGAAGAATTTGACCTGTTCGACATCATTTGGGTTAGTCTTACACGACAAATCTGCCTTGTTATATACTTGTTGTCACGTTTTATTTTATCTTAATTATTTTAGTATTAGTATTAAAATCCAAAAAACTCCAAGGATTATTAAGCAAACACGTCTTTATTGAAATAAAAGAGTACCATAACACCGCTACAGCCGCGTCAGGATAAGACCAAAAGAGCCTCGACCCCATGGTTACACCCAACACCAGCACCACACACAAACGAAATTTCAAGAAAAGAAGAGAAACGAAAAAGCGAGAAAGAAATACAGTAGGATAGGACTTCAGCAGTTCAGCCCATAACGAGTACCGGACAGCCAATGAGGTTATGACACCTCAGCTCCCGCTTATTTAGTAGTATTAGACTCCACTGCACAGGACCGCAGGGGATTGTTGTTGTGGCTTTTAGATTGCGAGGACCAGACCCGGCACGGACTTTCCGACCGAGACGCTGCTCTCCCAAACGGACGGGCAATGGAACGAGGTAATCGCGGATGTCGACGACGACGACGACGACTTGGAGGAAAACCCGGACGGCGAGGATTTAGCGGAGGCGGCGGGAGAGTTGTTCTGGGTGTGGTTTCCGAGGCGCGTGACGGTGAGGGAAGTGTTGAAGTACTCGCGGACCCCGGTGATTACCCCATTGGCGACAGTCCAGGCGTGGACCCAGGAAATGGAGCAGTCGCGGTCGCAGCCCTCGACGAGGACGGTGGGGCCGAAGGAGGCGATGGACTGGGGGACGAACTGAAAGGGTTCTTTTTGGGAGCCGGTGAGGATGCGCATCAAGAACTGGTGGGTCGGCGGACCATGGAACCACCACTCGAGGTCGGGGGCGACGATCTGGTGAACCGTGTCCACGTCGTGGGAGCTTAGGGCATCATAAAGGGCGAACACCACCCTTCGATTGCTGGAATCAGTGTCTTCCAGAGCTTCCTGAGAGTTAGCCAGTTCTTGCCTAAGCCTCTGTGGCGGGTTTAGAGCGAGAAATTCCAGGGTTTGGAGAGAGAGAGAAGGCGGAGGTTTAGAAAGAGAGGGGGATTTGGGAGGAATGTGAAATGATATTTCTGGAGAGCAAAGGAAGGTGGGGTTTTATAGCAGGTGGATGGTGGTGGTGCCGGGGGGTTAGGATTGCCTGCATCCGTTTCTATGTCTAGGTTGATCGACCGACCAATTGGACTACTGCCTTTACTGCTGACCTTTGGAAAGAAAATTACTTTGACTAAAATGGCCCTGTGTCGCCACTTGGTACTACAGTTTAATGTTATTCATCTTCACTTGTGAGTAAGAGGTACTCGATTCGATTCTCGTCGAATGCAGGTTTGAATTACTCATTGCTAATTCATTATGAGACTAAACTCATCACACGCATTTAGTATAATAATATCGTTTGTTCATAAAAATAAAAAAAAGACCCTGTTTCGCAATTACGCAAAGGTACAAACATGACAAGATTTGATTAGATTGAGAATCTTACTTATTGTGCAAAAATTCTTCCCAAAAACTTGAAATAACACGTTGGCAGTATTATTATCCAAACGGATTTGAGTATTAATTTTTTAGCATATTATTAGATGATTGGTTTAAGAAATAAACAAATTGTATTCTCGTTGAAAAAACGTTATTACAACAATTTTAATGTTTGAACGAGCAACAAATTGTCACGAGTCTTAACTTTCTAAAACGAAAAAGTATTTACTAGATTGAGATGGTAAGACGAAGACATCCTATGTCCAAATAAGTTCTTTCCACAATTTTGAACGGCCGTGTAGTAAACGGATAGAGTGCGCGGCCTCGCAGACCGGGGGGATATTAATGACGTGGCGCGCTCTTATAGGTTTGGTGGTGAGGAATAGGTGGCATGCGATGGGGTGGCCCTTGATTTTCAGGTACGCGTACAAGGGCGTGAGGAAGGTAAGGGTTTCGGGGACACGTGACGGAACGGAAGCAGTCAAGCCAACTTTTCTTGACAATTTTGGGCCCACCTGCTCTTTCCGCTTCGAGAGCCCACATAATTCCGTTACTCGGTTAATTTGTGGTTGGCTGAAAAGTGAAAAAGTTTGTTTAATTTCTCTACGCTGTTGGCTTCGTGTTACGAAATGTCAATTTTGGGAAATTTGAATCAAATTAAGGCTTATTTTTAGTTGAAAATCGATTTCAATTTCATTTTGTTTTTTATAATTTAAAAGTCATAATTTTAATCTTTGAAACTCAAAATTCGCAAGGTATCTTGGAGTTCGGTTTTGAAATCTTAATTTACTTCTTAAAACTTGAAAGTCGCTTATATAAAATTCAAAATTTGCTTCGCATTCAAAATGCGTTTTACATTGCATTAGAAAATAGTCGAGCCAACTTTTCTTGACAATTTTGGCCCCACCTTCTCTTTTCGATTCGAGAGCCTACGTAATTTCGTTAGGCCATCTCCAACCTATCCAACCAAAAAGTCATAAGTCAAAATATAGCTCGTATTGACACGAAAACCGTCTCTAACCGAGAGTTAGACCAAAAAACTTGTGAGGCCCAAAAATTAGACATCAGGCCAACGAGCTAGCCATAATCAACCAGCCAGCCAACCCGATGCAGCAACCCATAAACTAGACAAGTTCCATGCTTAATCACATGTTGATTGAAAGAAACAATATTGCAGCAGAACCTCCCCAAGATCTTCCTTTTATTTCGAAGCCCTTTAAAATTTAAATAAGGCCCGGTTTAAGTGATGCATCAACTTAATTAATTAAAGCAGCTTTAGCAAAAAGTTAATTAATTGTTTCTTCTTGTCGTACACAAAATAAACATTTTAATTGCATATTTTGCAAGTAATACCATCCCCAGAATTGCCTATTAAAATTTCATAATATTATTTATATATTTTTCTTATATTATGTACTTTTTTTAGTATATTATCTTATGAACTTTTGCAAAAAGAATCATACCATGCATGTGGACGGACTAATAATTAAACCTTAATTTGGGCTGAAAAAAATTAATAATACAACCAGGACGCATTGCAATGCAAGAGCCAAAATATCGTTGGGGTTTGGTCCATTGGAATGTTGCATATATACGTAATTAAATTTAGCTTATTTGATAAACCTAACATTAAACTATTTAGTGACATTGATTTAGGTACAACCTCTTTTTATTAAGGAAAACTAACGAAAAGTCTAAATTTTTTTTAGTTTTAATGAAAAATGACAAATAAAGATGTAGTGAATAGTACCACGGAAAGGTAAAAATGTTGTTTTTCGTTAAATGTGAACAATACCGGAAGTGTTTCATTAAAACTTTATTTTTATTATTGGTTATTGTTCGGAGGTTTTTTTCGATATAGAACATATTAAAAAATAACCCATTTTGGTTGGAGATGGGGTTTTTTGTAAAAAGGCTATGTTTTGGCCTATGACCTTTTGGTCCCCTTTAATTGGAGATGATATAAAATATGGTATGTCAATGTTCATTAAAAAATAATTTCTTGTAGGACTATAGGGCTAGACAAGATCCTCTGACCCCCTTTCAGTTGGAGATGACCTCACTCGGTTAATTTGTGGGTGGCTGAAAAATGAAAAGTCTGTTTAATTTCTCTACACTATTGGCTTCGTGAGTTACAAAATGTAAATTTTGGGAAATTTTGAATAAAACTAAGGCTCTTTTTTAGTTGAAATTCAATTTCAATTTCTGTAGTATCCCACATCGCCCGTGAGGGCGTGGTCTTTGGGCCTTATATGTCCATGCCTGCATGTACCTTTCAAAGGAGGCCTTTTGGAGCTACGGCTTGCAAAGACAAAACCGTGCGGTAGCCCTGCTGTCTGCGACCTAGTCCAGGGCAGGGAATGCCAAAACGGACAATATCTCTGCGAGGGAAGGCGGGATGTGACAATTTGGTATCAGAGCCAGACTCACGGTCGTGGTGTGCCGACGAGGACGTCGGGCTCCCTAAGGGGGGTGGATTGTAGTATCCCACATCGCTCGTGAGGGCGTGGTCTTTGGGCCTTATATGTCCATGCTTGCATGTACCTTTCAGGGGAGGCCTTTTGGAGTTGCGGCTTGCAAAGACAAAACCGTGCGGTAGCCCTGCTGTCTGCGACCTAGTCCAGGGCAGGGAATGCCAAAGCGGACAATATCTCTGCGAGGGAAGGCGGGATGTGACAATTTCACTTTGTTTTCTATAATTTAAGAGTCACATTTTTATTCTTTGAAACTCAAATTCGTAAGGCCTCCTGGAGCTCGATTTTGAAATCCTAGTTTGCTTCTTGAAACTTGAAAGTCATTTCTATAAAACTCAAAATTCGCTTGACATTGCATTAGATATGTTAATTGGTTGGATTTGGGTGAACCAGATTATCGATTTCTTTTTTATCTTTTTCATCTCTTTAATTTCTTTTAGACTTAATATTCTTTAATTGTTGAATGTTGACGCATAATGAAAATTTATAATCAAATTTATTGCACGTGGAATAGTCTTATTGAGTGTTGGGTTTCACATATGTTTCAGGAGACAACCTATAAATTTCAGGGAGAAGATAGTGTTCACAAGTCAAAGTGAAATGAATTTTGGGTTTTAGAAAATAAAGTTGTGACTTTTGAGTTACATAGGGTAAAGTGAGATTAAATGGAGTTCAAGGGGGTGTAGCTAAAAATAAACCTAAAACTAATATTTGGACCCCAAATGAATTATAGTCACTCTTTCTAAGTTTATAGTGATTATAAACAAAAGTTGATACAAACGGAGATTTATAATTCTTTATTGTGTTTTGGTTTTTTTTGAAAAATCTCATTTTCAGGTCATATTAGTACTTTTATATCAAATTTTGGTTATAATTATCATAAACTTAAAAGAGTGACTATAATTCTATATTTGATCCAAAGTTTGATTATTTTTTTGAAAATTTCTGTAAATTTTTGGTCTTTTACCTATTTAATTTAGTCTTTTTATTGACCTAATGTCCAAAATTTAGTGTGGCTATAATATTCTGTAAGAATAAAATTTTTGAATTTATAATTGTGTGGTTTATACTAGTGAGTACTCTAACTTTGATAAACTTGCCATTTTCAAAGTTAATATTTAATTTTTTTAATAAATATATATTATTACTTTAATTGACAACTTAGCATTTGCCTACACACTTTGTGTGTATGAACATATTTTTTAGAAAATGAGAAGGGGAGAGAGAGAGAGAGAGAACGTTGGGGGAGTGGGAGGTTTTTTTTTTTAATTTTTAATTTTTAATATTAGAGGTACTTTAACATTACTTGTAGGTGAGACTTTAATAAAAAAAACAGTAAAATTTGGACATATGAAATTACATTATTGCCCATCATTTTTTTTGTGTGATAGAAGACTAATTTGTCTTTTCACCCTCTTTTGGTTGACAAAGAGAGTTTTATTAATTAGTAGAGATAAAGAGAGAATTTGAATATGTGACGCAGAACAATCCACTACTTGCAAAGTTTAGTTGAACTTGAAATGTTATCTAATAGAAGGGTCAATAAAAGCAAATGTAAATTAAATTCAGTGGTGAGGGTGGGAGTAAGATAATTTCTAAGAGTAGGTTAGTTTCAAGGTTCGGCACATGCTCAAAATTCTTTAATGTAACAAAAAAAAACAAAGGTCGGTAAAATAAAATGCTAATTAGATCCAGTGGTGAGGGTGGTTGTAGGGTGATGGGTAAGAGTATGCGGGTGTTAGGTTTAAGCTTTGAAACCTTTAAATATAACAAAAAAAAAGCCAGTGAAACCACACGACTTTTAGGTCAATTGTCGGGGCAATTTACTTACACTTTTGCACTCGTTTTTTTATTATAAATCGAAATAACTATAAATATCGGGTTTTTTTTTATCTACAATAGTTCATGAAATTGGCACAACTTCTCACATTAGTCTTTAAGATTTAAAATCGATAAAACCGGTCCCTAAGTTTGTTTATCGTCAATCATTTTGGTCATTTCATGAAAAATCTCTATTAAATAAAGATAAAACAACAAAATACTCTCAATTTTTGTCAAATCATTTTAATCCATTGTTTATTAAATTGGTCCTTAT